GGGGGGGGGGGAAAAAGAAAAAAAAGAAGAGAAGTGCCTCAGAACTACTTTCTCGCGTGCTTCCTGGAAAGCTTGGCAGTATCTTTGTAAGCGTTAGCTGTCAGACCTCCCGGTGCTCGTTCGATGGAAAGACGTCATCGTCCAAGATCATTACCTCAAGATCGGCTTGTATTTGTACAGCTAAGATTGCAAAACGACGCACAGTTTGCTGTATTCAAGCCTTCACGCAGGCTACGTGCAGGCACTATTCCAACCAACTGGCAAACAAGACCTAGGTAAAGCGTATATACCTCCCCCTCCCCCGAAATATGCATATCCTCAGTGCCAAGCTACTGCACATCTGCTGCACCGTGGATCCAGCAAGCAATTTTCCGGCTCTTCCAGCTGAATGTCAAATTCCAGGGTTGTATCAAAAGCGTCGTCATTGAGAATCTCAATCCTCAGTTTAAGAACAACCAGACAGTTCATGTGCAGAGCATATAACTATAACGCACCAAGGGTCTGAAAAGTCCGGATTGACTCTCCTGGACCAAATTTGATTTGCCCACTACCTGAGCCCAGACATGTTCTGGCTCGCTGAATCTGGTTCAACTGAATATAGATGACTGATCGACTCACCTGCCAACCTGTGCCAACCTGTGCCAACCTGGTCACTCTCGATATACTTCTCCCCCTTCAAGGCCGAGCCGTCCTGGAATGTCTGCATCTACAGCATGATCATCACAATCAATTCAAAACAAGCCCAACCTGTGTGCTCCAGGACACCGAACATGAACCATGCAGGTTACCTGCAATGAGGTGTTGATAGCATTTGATAGCGACCGGGAGCTGCAATGACCAAGCCTATCCGAATCACGCGCACAATGGCAAACTCGTCCTTCTCTGACACGTAGAAGATGCGCGACAGAAACTGCACCACATCAACATCCTGCAGCTGTCAACCCAGAGACAAAATTGGTTGTGCTCGTTCAGCTCAACAACAATGCCGTCATCTCAGCACCCTTAAAGATGCCTCGCCGTGACTCTTTAACCTTCGCGCGCTGCTAGGCGGTCGACTCAGCCTGGGATAATCACTTGGCGCAAGTGGCTGAGAATGTCACATCTCAGCCACAAGCCCGCAGGGTCGAGAGCCGTGCATTCCTTGCTACCTGCTACCACACTCGAGGAAAACTCTAAATTTGCTGAATCATCCGTCCAACACTGCCAGGTCATACAACATAGGCTCTGGTATGACAATTTTCTGCAAAGTATTCACTGCAGCACACAATTCGCACAAACAGAGTTATGGAGTGCTGGCCTTCACACCGTTTGCTAGGCTCTTCAAAGAAGACAAAACAGCACAAGACAGCTGACAAGGTCGAACAGACATGCACATTGCAGCCAGCTCGCTGAAAGTCGGCACTTAAGCTCAGATCGCGCAGGTTCGTCCCATCTCGTTGAACCTTATGCGAATCAAGCTGCTCTCTCAGCTTCTACCTGCTATCACTTGATTACCTGTCATCCTAGAAATCGGACGGGCAGTGCAGTTTAAAAAACAAATCACACTGAAGCCAGTGTCCTACTGTCAGCAGGTCACGTTTGGAGACGCCTGTCTAGACTCATTTTATCAAAATTTCCCTGCAGGCGCACCTGCATAAAGAGCACACGGAATGTTACGTAAGAGCCAACAACTTCTTTCCAGGCATCTGGCAAGACGTCGTTCTTGCGATTGCACTCCTTGAGGCGAGAAGAGTGCCACTGCACCAGGCGTGATTGAACTTAGAGACCTGGGGTGCTCTCCAAGGTGCTCAGGAGAGGTTGTGCCGCGTACCCTGGCGCCGTTGCCATTGCTGAAGTTCCAGACTAAAAGTGGCATGAGCCACGAAAGACTAGAGTAGCAGGGTGAGAAGCTGCAGAGATGTTCTGCGTAGGTAAGCAATGGAGAATCGGTTGGTTACAGTGCGCGTCTTGCCAGCAATAAATCTCTTGAGCCTCAAGCTTGACTGCAAACTTTCACTACAAGGCTGACAACCAGCACGCGTTCTGCATGTGTTGTTGTATCTTGCTGAGCGGAGAGACCTCGTCCATCTCATCAGTCGGGAAGAATTCCACAAACTCCATCTAGGCACGTGAGTTTGCTGGATACATGCGGCAACCCGTTGAGAGTCTTATCAGACGGGCACACGCACATCAAACAAATTCACGCGCAACAGTAGTGAAGGGTATGGATAAATTTAAGGACTATTGTAGCTTCCAGTGTGCCAAGTTGCCACTTGGAGAGTCTTGTGCGCGTGGTACGAGGCTCCAATTTCCTTGCATGGCATGCACTATTCCGACTCGAACTTGACATTCCATCCTTTCTTCCTCCTTCACGCAAACCTCAAAAGGTTGGTCTTGAAGCTGCTTGCTGCAAGAGATCGTCACGAATGACCAGGTACCTCTGCGTCTTCTCCTGGTCTATCACAACACCTTCTCCAGCCTGAGCTTCTTGGAACATCATAACATTGTAATGGCGCATACCACGGATTGAGAGCAACACCGTATCGTTCCACTTCAGAACGTAACCAAATGTTCGAGGATACCTGACTCATTAATCACCGGTGTACACCTTCAATCACGCTGCAGCAGAATCAAAGGTTCCGGCTCAAATTGCGCACACCATCGGCGGTGTCTTAAGCGTTTCAAATACCTTGCCCGAGTAGTTCCCTCAAACCTGCAAAGCGGGCCAAGCGCGTGAAGAGGGGCTCGAAAACTCAGACAGCAAACCTTGTGTGAAACACAAATGCAAGCAATTGGCCTATGCTTGATCTCGACGGGAACCTTGAGCGACTGCATTTGAACCTGTGCGTTCAAGCGAACCCGTGCGTCTGGAAGGCAAGTGTCTTGACATTGGCTTCCTACGCATGCCCTAATCACCTCATCAATACTTTGCGGCAACCTCGGGCAAGCAGCCCCTTCAACCAATTTCCGAGCAAAAACTTCTTGTGTCACTGTTAAACCGATATTCTTTGATTTGGGCGCCTGCACATCTCTTCCTGTCTGCCCGGTGGCCACATTCGAGACGCCTTCCACGAAAGACGTGTCAGAACCTGCAGGCAAAATGATGCCTACATGACAGTGCAAATCAGACAAATGCAGCCATTAGTTCACGTTGGCGTACCATGCTGGACATCTTCCACGTGTCACATACTACGCTGCAATTTACAAACTTGTTGTGCCAAGGACAGCAGCCATGAACGTTAATTTGATGCCATATATGATTCCGTCTTCATGATTGCCATCATGGCCTCCGACGCTGAGCTTCCACAGCAGTACTCCCGCCAGTGCAAGCAAGACATGCCCTGCGGCGGCAAGTTATCATAATTCTCTGCCAAAACACCCCGCACCAAGCCTGCAGCAAGCGTCCGTGTCTGCATGCGGCCAGCCGGCCGACATCCCGCCTGCAAAAACAAATTTGCGGGCGTTCGACGAAGTTGCAGCACAGCGTTGTATGCACCTGCAATTGCACCACCATGCCGGGAGCAATGCCGCTGGTTGGCAGCTTGAACAACTGCCACCTGTTGAAACAAATGGTTACCTCTAGACGTCTCGATGCTTGCCATGCATTTCATGTAGATCGAACATGTCTCTTGAAAATTCAAACGTACAAATCTGGATGATACATTTGCCAACAACACAGCAAGCTTTGTGCGTTTCAAACGCTTCAACCCCTTCAAAAACGACACCCACCGTGCAAATGTCAGGATAATGATTGTCCACGCATTGTGGTTCCGTCAAATAGGCACACAACCAGTGAATGAAATTAAATTATGTGTTATGAGACATTGTCAAGGCCACCACATGCACACGCGGATTTGATGCACTGCGCACGGGCCCAATTTCCGAACTTGTCCAAAACACCCGCAAACATGCCAAGCCCTTCACAAGACCACATTCATGTAAAATTGGGGCAGACGCACATGAGCTTTGAGCGAACATAGAGTAAAACCTACAGCCCAAAGATAACGATTACATGGAAAACATGACCGACGAAAACCAAGGAAAATACGGTCGCATGCATCAGCAAGTCCCAACGACACAAGTTTTCATTGCAACATTTCGGAAACATTTGGAACCTGCTCGCGGCCCATTCCAAGACTGTACACCCTCAACTAGCATGGGTCGGAGGATTCCTCAAGACCATTTCAAGCGTGGAATGGCCTTGGTAATTTTTTCCTCTGACAAAATACCAGGCATTTTTCAAATCAACATTCTCACTCAATCAATATTTGGAAAAGACGGCGTCTTGATCAAATTGGTTTTCATCCACTGAGCTTAGCTGCCCGCAAACGTCCAAGTCAAGCCTCGTCTCGACACCTCTTTGGATGGAGGGGCCCCCGAACCTCCTGCACTAGGCCCAAGGTAGGCACGCAAACCCTGAAGGCGGGACCGGGTCCTCCGCCAAAAATTGTACAGCTACTTGAGGGTGGAAACCAACTTTCCTGAGGACTGGAATCCAATCCCACACTTTTGGATTGGTCACCAATTTAGGTTTTGTGTGGTTGCACTACTCCTGTCCAAGACTACCACAACAAGCGCAAGAGCAGTACTTTTCTTTTTTCTTGGGTTGCTCTGAGTGTAGCTTTCAGAGGGCTTGGAGGCAGGAAGGCTTCAAGCTTCTCTGGCCAACCCTTTCGCCCCCTGTGAGACTGAAAAACCAGAGGCTTCTGGGCTAAACTTGAAGTTCAGGCTTTGTGAAATTAAGTCAAGACCAGAACCAACGAGTTCAGGCTGACCTAACAGGGCCAGGGGCAAAAACTGAGGCAAGGGCTTGCGCCAGCGCTGGTGGGTACTCTGCGGACGAGCTGCTGAGGAAACCTCCTTGCGCGTCTTTGATGCCTCGTATGGACAGATGTTTGAAGGAATGATGGCGTAGGGAGGCTACGCGCTGTATGTCTTCGGACGTGCTGGCGGAAAGCCCACGACTTTTCATGGGGCATGTCGTACACGTAGGCGTCCACCCAGGCTACATGGCATCTGAACTTCTTCAGAGTATGCATCGCGTCGGGCTGTAGCAGGCTATGCTACCTGGACACTGTTGGAGGGTGGCTGTGCCTTACTGCCTCGAAAAGGTCTCGGCCCCTGCTGTGAATTGCTCCGCGTGACTTTGAATAGGTCGGAATGGCTGAGGCCTGGAATCCTGTCAAGAAATTCCGGAGTCCGCAAGGCTGGGGACCTGCTGGCAAAAGACGACTGTACTTATGCAGGGTCGCGCAGGATATCGAAATCTGGATTGGCGTCCAGGTCGAAGGGCCGACAATGATCAAGGCCAAGGGCTGCAACTGCTTTGCTGACTGGCGAGTGGCTCCGGACGCCCAAACGTGCGAGGGCTTCTCTATAGCCTGCTTGTGTCTCAGCAACGAGCGCATGCAACTCTGAACCGGAGTCCGAGTTCATGTAGCACGAATCCTCGGGAGGCTGTGTTGGCTTTGAGAAAACCATCTGTGGCCTCGTGCTTGCAGTTGCGTGAGGGCTGGCCTGAGGCTGCCTGGCGGGGCTCTTAGGAGGATCGTTGCGAGGTGTGCTGGCGAGGAGGAGCGATGCACAACTTACAAGGCTGAGAGGGAACGTCTGGAGAACTCTGAGTGTCCAGCGTCTCCTCCAGGCTCGGAGAGGCTGGACTGTTTCAGGTGTGTGCTTTGCCACGCTTGCAGGCTGGGTGCTCTTTGCGACAGCCTTTGACGGCGCACACGTGTGCAATTGGGACTTGCGCAAAGGCCTCGGCTGAAGCGTCTGCAGATTTGCTTCCCCCGCAGCTCCGTGAGCCAGTTTTCTGCCGTGGCTTGGCCTGGCGATTTTCGCCCTTTGCCTTTGCCCTTCTTCCTGGGCTGCTCCGTCTCCCATTCGGGAGCGCGCTTCCTGCCATTGCCTCCTTTTCCTTTGCCACTCCCTTTGTATGGGTGTGTTAGCTGGGGAGGCTTGGGCACACGTGGGTGAGGCTGCAGAAAGCTACTGAGATCCCCCCTGACGCTGGTCAACTTGTAGAGGGCTACATATAGCTCTCAAATCAGGTTTCAGATCTTGCGGTCAGCTGCCAAAAGCTCCTGCACGTTAGGGCTGCGAAGGCCCAGGTCCGGGTCAAAGCGCTGGAGGCAAAACTCTGCAACCTTTTTGAGCCACTCGGCTGCACCTGCCCTTTGTTGCAGGTGTCATCGAAAAGAAGCTGCACTTCCTTTATGGCTTTTGCCTCCATCGCCTCCTGATTGCTTTTGGCTGAGCCGTGGCTGCCAAGGGATCCACCTAACGCGCTGTCCTGGCTTGGGGCTGTGGTGACCCCAGGTTAGTTGAGGCTGAAACTGTCGCGCATCGTCTCCACTGCTTTCGGGGTTAGCTTTGGAGGAAGATGCTCTGCCCACGTTGAGGGCTGCAGGGCTGCCACGGAGACGGCTTGCAATGCTTGCGCGCATGGTTGTTCACTCACTCCAGCTCACTCTTTTGTCCAAGAGGGGTTTCAGCCTGCAGGTGCCCTGCATCCATCTTTTGAGACTTGCTTTCTCAGGACTTCCACTCATTGAAAACGCTCGGTACTTGCTACCCACTTCCCACATAGAACAATCAAGACCAAAAAAAGAAGCATCTTCCAATGAGCAAGCTTAAAGATACCGTGCGCTCAGCTACTCAGCTTCTCTCACAGGTCTGGCCTGAGTCTTTCGGCCTGGCTGGGTCAGGACTTCAAAACGGTTGCACAGCTTCTGAGGCAGGAATGCTTGAGTGAGCCGGCTGACTGCACTTGGCTGCACTGAGGTCGCAGCACAACAGGCTAGCTAGCGAATATTGCGCAACTCAAGCAGACGCTCCAGCGCTTCCACTCGCCGTGAAACACGCGCCTTGCACATGGTCTGATGCTCGAGCTTGGATGGACTCCAGTGTTTCAACCTTGGGCTCCAAAAGCCTGTTGCGCGTCTCTACACTGTTGAGTTGAGTTTGTCAAGCAACTCGGCAGGTTCTTCAGACTCCATCTGTCAATCTTGGAAGGCTGACGCGCGCGTACCCTACGGGTAGATCAACTTGAACAAGTGGCAAATCTGAAAGGCCTACACGCATTACATACAACTTGCAGGGTTGGTGGGCGGGCTTCGAAAATTTTGCCCAGCTTGTAGGCTTCTCACTTGAACATGAAATCACGGCACACACTGATGCGCTCCCCTTGCAAATGCACTCATGAGATACATGTACTGACGCACTTCCATTGCACATGCACTCATGGAATTTTCATGCAAACGTTTGAAATCATTTGCCTAAACAAAAACCCTCCAGTTTCGTTTTCCTTGCAAGATAAAACCTTAACTCGTCCCTCGCACGCCTGCTTCTCTTTCACGCGGACCGGCAGAATTTTCCAGTGAAATATTCATGTCAAAAATTCGGACTCATTGAATCGATATGATATAAACTTTCTTCACTCACTCTAGCTCACTCTTTTGTCCAAGAGGGGTTTCAGCTTGCAGGTGCGCTGCATCCATCTTTTGAGACTTGCTTTCTGAGGACGTCCGCTCATTGAAAATGCTCGGTACTCGCTCCCTCTTGTTCTAAAACCGACGTTTTCACAACGACCCTGTTAGCACCTGCCCAACCGGGTAAGAATGCCAGAAGTTCGCGGGACGGGTGATCTGCGATATTGCTGCGCGAAGGCACTCTGGACACCCAAGAAACGAGGGCCATATTGCTTTCAGTCCGGGAGCCTGAATCTTTAGCAAATCATTGGCCACCCTGTTGCCTGAGCTGCCAGTAATCAGCGCAGCCTTGGACACTTCAGTATCCAGAAAGAGCACGAGATTCACACCTGCCACGCACGGTGCCCAGATCTTAAAGGCCAAACATGCTGCAAGGAGTTCAAGCAGAAAGATGCAGACTTTGCGTCGAGGTCTACGACAACTGCTCGAAGATCTTCTTTCAAGGGAAAGGCTGAGAAGAGGGCCACAAGCAATCCTGCAGGTCCCACAAGGACACCTCCAATTCCACCTATGTTTCCTTCGGCAGAAGGTTCAAGCGATGCATCTGTGTAAATGTACGCACACGGCAGGATGTAGAGATTGAGCGTCCTTGGCGGGTCAGTCTTGAGGGAGAAAACATAACTCCGAATGGCTTGTACCATATCGTCACTCAGGTGCCCGGACGAACTCTCTACAACCGAGAAGAACACTTTCAGTAAAAACCAAAACCCAAACACAGCAGGGTTCTTTTCCGTCTTCACTTCAGACTTAGCGCGGCGGTTTGGTCACAGCTTTGGAAAAACACCAAAACGCAGGTCACAACACATCCATGCGCTCGGGAATGGCACTGCATGGATACTCTAAAATGTTGTTACCCCCTTTGGTTGTCCATGATCACTTGAATGGACAGCCATCTCAACATTTCCGTTCTTGGAGAAACGAGAAAATTCTTGCCTACTGCAATGGACTCT